CCGATTGATGGCTTCACGAGTCACGGCATTTCAAACCCGTACCTAGCTCAGTTATCCGATGTGATTTACGCCATTTATGTTCATTTTGAGGACTCATCATGCCTCACCGTAACAATATCTATGCATATCACCGCGGTTTAAAATTCTATTGCATGTACTTCCGTAGATTCTTTTACACGATGAGCCTGTGGTGGAGTCAGGAGAGTTCGTGACCCGACTGTTGTGAGGCACATGATACCGGCAAACCTACAGTTTTTTTCAACCTCATGCTATGCAATAAGGTGCCTCGTCGGTGAAGAATGCTATTCGATACTCGACACCATTTATTGAGTTTGAATGACATTTCTACTTATACAGAATATCGCTGGTATGCTTGATGCATCTCACAATAACATCCATACGCATTTGCAGTGTAAGTAGATATAGAGAAAAATCACGTGATTAGCCATGCCCATAGCGTGGTCACGTGACTCTTCATAGTCGAAAATAATCGATCCCACCGGTCCAGTAAACATAGCTGGTTATTCGTGGAATTTTCTAGCATTACACCCACCCCCTCCAACTGATGCAGACAATCGGGAGTGCTGTGGTAATCCAGCTGTTTGGAATTTACGCAAACAAATCATCGCATTGTAGTCTGTTTTGGTCAATTCTTTAGACGTCTTTGCGAGTAGTCTATATGAAGTGGGTGTATAAATTCAAAATAGTTTTCGATTTGTAGCTGCACGCTCACAAGGAATTTTTTTCCAATTTTCAATATTCAAAGTCGTTTGATTTATTCATCATTCGATTCATACTTTATTATTTTTTGTATGCAACAAGCAAATCGTTATGCTCTACAACACTAATTATCAATAATCAGATCTAACTACTTGTTCAAAGGGTGTATGAACCGCAGTTAAAGTCACCGAAACCTCGTTAGCGAATCTTTACCAAATCCCAATTTTGCTAATGAAGGATAGTGGTTACTTGCAGTGATTACTGATTAGGACTTTGCAATGCAAAGTAGCAATTCTATCCAGGAGTTTCACCGTAATATGCAATTAGGATTTCGGTTACCCTTTATTCAGGTGACCTTAATCATATCCTGAATGCACATAAATCTATTGCGTACAAACGTTAATCAATAAAACGCAAAACACGAAAATAACCGTCCTTCTGCCGAAAGGTGAACAAAAATAATAAGGATATCCAGCCCAGAACAATTGGTATGCTAGCAGTTATTCGTGCCTTGGAAAAACAGGAAGCAGGGAAACTCTTGATGACAATTTTTATAGCTCATATTCTTATGTAATCTAATGTTTTTCTTATAGAACAGTCACTTTAGTTGAACTATGCCGATATGACTCCAAAACTTCCAACACCAGGTTACTGAGTGTGGCCAACTATCACCGCATTTGTGGTAACACCATGAGCGGTGAAGTAGAATTTGTGTGCCCCAGTATATCGTTTACCACAAAATGTGCTAGTGATTATGAAGCAGCGATACTCAGCTTGGAGACAATCAGTGTACTACAGAATAGATGGATATTCTAAACCAAATGTGTAGACCCTCAAGAGCGTCATCTAATCTGATACCATCATATAACTCCTATGAAGATGTGACGAAATTTGCAAGCCTAATAAATTAATGAACTAATTAATGTATGATATCCAATGTTTCGTTTTATTCATACGAATAGAAATTTGGCCAGTTTCCGAATTATCCATCGTTTTTTATACGATAGAGCTAATATATGGACTCAAGTTCTAACTGTGAGGGCGTTTACCGTTACCTTTTAAAACATGACTCCAATCTTAGGACGGTTGACAGGACATATCATAAGGGCTGAGACAATGGACCAATCATGATGACTATTTAAATTGACAATTTATCATTCGAACTGCTCCGTGTCTCTCGGTTGATAAATTGTCAATTTAAATAGTCA